CAAATATTCGACATCGTTGTGTCTGTGGCATGATATAAATCATAGGAAGAAATTAAAAACACCTTGCAAACTGTAGTCTATAATTCTTGGACAAAAGAGGAGTTTGAAGTAAAATGGGGGCATTTTGTTGATGAATTCAATCTTTCAAACAATGCATGGTTAAATGTAAGGCTGACAATCCGGGTAGCGATATGACGACACGACTCGAAACCCACATGAAGTTAGCGGGTTTGGGTTTATCATAAATAGGTTTGGGTTAAAATCAGGTCGAATCTGTGAAACATGATTAAATAGCATGTCGTTTTCAAGTTAACCCGCTAACCCGTAATTGACCCACAATAACCCGTTTATATTAAACGCTTAATATTTGAGTAACACGAACACACAGCACAATTATAACCCGTTTGTTGCCTATGTTGAGAAACAAGTTGAAAAACAGGTTGAGAAATAGGTTGACACGACCTTATTATTACTCATTTTATAAAGGGGTTAATAAACGGGTTATTAGAAACAGGTTGACACGACACTATTATGACATGTTTAATAAACGAGTTAGTCGTATCGTGTCTTGTCAACCCGTTAATATATAAGTTGTGTTTGAGTTTTGTATTTCGATACAAATAATAAACGAGTCGTGTTCGTCTCAGATATTACTGTGTTAACTGAGAGAGTCAACACGACACGACAACACGAATTGCCACCCTAATTAAATGGGCATCGATGAGTTCTAGCTTTTGTGAAGGACACGTTTTGGGGAAGCATGTCAACTGCTCAACATAGTGAAAGCATGAATTCCTTTTTTGATGGCTATGTAAACTCGAAGCCAACATTGAAGCAATTTGTGGAGCAATATGACAATGCATTAAGAGACAGGATTGAAAAAGAAGATGAAGTGGATTTTCGGCCTAATACATTTTGAGATTGAGAAGTAATTCCAAGAGGTGTATACACATTTCAAGTTTAAGAAATTCCAAAGGGAGGTGACAGGGAAGCTCTATTGCGACAATTTACATGGTGGGGCAAATGGAATATTCAACGCGATATAAACTATCTTTATTGAGGAAAAAAAAGTGCATTACAAAGTTTGGCTTTCTAAGGAGAAATATGAGGTTAGTTGTGATTGTCGAATATTTGAATTCAAGGGGATTTTGTGCTAAGCACATATTATCTGTTTTTGATAAAAACCCGAGTTAAAAATGTGCTAGAAAAATATATTTTACCATAATGGAGGAAGGACATGAAAAGGTGTCACTCAAGAATCAAGGAGTTATTATTTTATAACGAAATTCAGAAAAAATTTGAACTCGAATTACAATTTTATTCAAGTTCATATTCTTTTATAAAATTTGAGTTCAAACTCTAGTTTGAACTTGAGTTTGGGACTAAATTCGAGTTCATAAACCCGAACTCAAGTTAATAAACAATATATTTTCTATTTTTAAAAATGTCATAACTTTTTCGTTTTAATTCTGATTGAGATAATTTTTTTTTTATACATTCACAACGAAAAGAGGAATAAAACCCCACCCATATACCCTATTAAAATTTTTCATCACCATTGAGTTTTTATTAAAATACTATCTAAATACAAATTTAAGTTTTAACCCACCTAAATACAAACTCAAATAGATTCTCAATTCAAATCATAACTCAAATGTGCATATCCAAATATAAACACAAGTTACAACTTCAACTCAAGTTATAACTCAAATTCAACTCAAGAGCATCACTCAAGTCACCCTAAGTAGTTCGAAAATCCGGAGACAAAATGATATGATAGGCTGCAAAAGAAGTTCGGTGAGGTTGCAAATTGGGTTGTTGTTTTTGACGAGAATTGTGAATTGTTGTAGAACTTGGTAGTTGATTTTCAAACAAAAACAAACGGTTTGCAACCAAGCGTCAAGAGTTGTAGCTCTCATGATCTTACTAAGGCATCTACAGAAACCAACATCAAAAGTCCTAAGGTTATTCAAAGACATGGAAGAAAACCTCAGAAAAGAAAGCTATCAATGCTCCAAAACAAAGTTTCTTACAAAGAAGTAGAAACAAAATAAAGAAACCCATAAAAAGAGAGAAACAACTAAGGTCTCATTTAATTCGCTGATTCGAGTTTTTATTCGAGCTTAAATGTGACTTTATGTGAGAGTTTTTAACTGTAGTAAAAAAGTTAAATGTGACTTTTTGTGAGAGTTTTTAACTGTAGTAAAATTAAAATTGAAAACTCGAATGGTGGAATAAACGGGGCCTAAAGTATTACTCATTTAAAGTTGTTAAGAATTTTTTTTTTTTATCTAAACAATATACTATATTCATAATTCTTTATTTTCATGAAGACTCTAGATTTTGATAAACATAGTTCGGTAGATGGCACAACTGATATGGCAACACAAAAAAGCATGAGCTACCAAGTATATAAGCATTGTGTGCATCTATTTAATTGAGCACTGTAAGAAAAATCATTTAGCTTTTCATTTCATTATTTTAGGAGCAACAACCAAAAGTGACTACATAATGTACTTTATATCCAAGTCAAGTATTGAGAAATGAAATTGATCTTTATATATATATATATATGTATAATATATATATATATATATATATATATTAATCAGGTTTTCCTACTATAAGTTAAGCTAGACAGAGCCACATGACAATGGTGTTATTGGCATGCAATTTGATCCAACAAATTAAGCAGGAGAAGTTTTTTTATTATTTTTATTTAGGAGGCTATCAAACTATTTTGCAACGGGTTTATAGCTCTAAATAGTTTTCTTTTAATTGGATACTACATGGATGGTTTATATAACTATTTTGACGTATTATTTATGGATTATAAATTCTAGTCATTTGGGTTTTTATTTTATCATTTACGAAAAAAAATATCTTCGGTTTTAGAACTTTTTTAGTTCAATGGAAGATAATAAGGAAAAATAAAATTACGTTTCTTTCATATTTATAAATTCTGAATTATAATTTATGATTTTAATTTTTAAAATTTAAATCTTTTGTATACATGATATTTTCTTTTTAAAATTAACGGAAATAGTAGAAAATATGCCAATATGAAAAACTTAAAAAATTATATAGGTCAACTTTTAGCTAGAGAAATTAATAGGCCATAACTTATCAAGTTATGGTTCATAACCAGATAAATTATGGATAAATTTTTCAAGTTATGGTTCATAACCAGACAAGTTATGGACAAAAATCATGAATTATGGATAATAATTTGTCAAGTTATGATTCATAACCAGACAAGTTATGGACAAAAACAGTAATTTAACCTATTTATTAATTTATATAAACTATTGACTTATTAATTTTAATTTATCTCAAATCTTAACCTATTTTCCTCTTCCTCCTTAAAATTAATTAATGTTTCACATAGCTTACTCTTTTTTTTTTTTTTTTAAAGTTATACACGTAAGAATTCTTTAGTGTACCTGCGCGTGAGGTGAAACGACAGTGGGTGGAAAGTGAGGTTTAAGGTCCGTTTGGTTCATGGATTCAAATCATGTGATTTGAACTATTTTTGATTTACGTGTATTTTTTGTGAGAGAAAATACTGTAGCGAACCACGAATCATGATTCGAATCAGGGAGTGAATCTAGGAACCAAACAGACCCTTACTTTTACTTGAAATATATAAAAAATGTAACTATGAAGGCTTGTACACGTGTACTATGCCACGTAGGAAGAGTGGTTGCAGAGTTAAGAAATAAGGACGCCGAATAACAGTGTTCTATTTAAAATGACATAAATAATAAATTTATAAAAAGTTACAATGAATTATGTACTTTTTATTATTATTTAAGATATTATAAATTTCATTTTAACAATTTTATTATTTATTAGAAAATTTAGAAATTATTTTGATACATTAAATTTTTTTATTCTAAACACTTATTAAAGTCAGAGCTTGGGGTGGGTCCGTTTAATAGGAAGGATGTTTGTTTGTTTACCAAATTATTTTGTTTAGTAATTCTACTAATTTTCTTATGTATTGTTGTTATTTTTTAACATTTTGATAATTGTTAAAAATATTTGAATAAAATTTAGCATAGTATACTTGTTAAAAATGTTCAATTTCTAAATAACTATTTTAAAGATTTATGTTTTTTAATTTGGTATGAAAAAAGTTAAATAAGTAGATTGAGAATTAATTTTTTGTATTAAGGTTATTTTAATAAATTTAAACAATAACAGTAGAAGTTTCTGTACAGAAATAACCTCAGACGTACTTCTCAAATTTTATTATTTGACAATAGTTTTTAAAAGCTGTTGAATAGAAGCAAGATCTACTAAACACCGTAACACTTAACTTGTTGTAGCTTCTTCAAAAAAGCTAAAATGAGCCTATAAAAACAAGAAATTTTTTTTAAAATATCCCCTTAAAATAGAGTTCATTTTATTTCTACCGTTTAGCTTCAAATACTGACTCATATATAAAAAACAGAAATAGTAGAAAATATGCCAATATGAAAAGCTTAAGAAAGTATATGGACCAATTTTTAATTATAAAAATTAATAGGCTTCATAACCAAATAAGTTATGGACAAACTTGTCAAGTTATGGTTCATAGCTAGACAAATTATGGACAAAAATCGTAAATTATGGATAATAACTTGTCAAGTTATGGTTCATAACCAGACAAATTATGGACAAAAATAGTAATTTAGCTTATTTATTAACTTATATAAACTATTAGCCTATTATTTTAATTCATATCAAGTCTTGACTTAATTCTCTCTTTCTCCCTATAAAATTTTATAGGTATTTTTTCTCCTAAAACGCCAATGCTGAACGGGCCCATTGGCAGGACCCAAGATACTGTTGCTTTGGGCTTTTTGTGCTTAATGGGCCATTCTTACTCTTCTAAACTTGATTGATTGTGCTTTTTTTATTTTTTATTTTTTATTTTTTTCAGAAGGATACGGACAAACTCATCGTCTCTCTCTCTCTCTCTCTCCTTCGTAACCTAAAGCAATTCAGCAAAAAAAATAAAAATAAAAATAAAAAATAAAAAACATAAAGCAATTCTTCTACTTCTTCTTCTTCGATTTCGCTGCTCTCGTCTAAGAATCTGGTAAAAGTTGTGAAATCGCAGGAATTGGTGACTTCGATTGCTCTATTCCGGAAAGGTTTTTCTCTCTCTATTTCTTTCTCTGATTTTATTGAAACTTTCGATATGTTTGTTTGGGATTGAGAAAACCTAACAAATTCTGTCTTTTTAAGAGTATTATTATGTAATCTTAATTGAAGACATCGACAATCTTCCATATTATTATGTCTTTTTAGGTCTCTTGTTTTATAAGGTTTTTGGATGGAAAGAGACATTTTTAATGGTTGGATTGGATATCTTCCACCATTGATTGTATCCATTGATTGTATATATATATATATGAATTATATGAATTATAGCTGTGCCTGTTTTGGTGCAATTTTTTTTTCTACTAAAGTTCTTCACTTTAATCCTTTTTGCAGAAGATCAAGAGTCTTGGGAGATCATATAAATGTGATTAAGTGGTTTTGTTTTGTACATTTCTGAACACTACTCAGAAGAGGCAATATCAAGGAAAATTTTGTTGGATTTCATCCTTATTCTTGCAGTGGTGGTGCTGGTAGAAGTGGTGTTACGATGTCGGTTACGGCGGGTGTTAGTGATACTGTGATTACCATCAGGGATAAACTGAGAGGTAAAATTGGCCAAACAAAAGTTAAGAGGTATTGGCCTGGTAAGGCGCCCGAGTGGGCGGATGAAGCTGATGAAGATGGGGATATCAGAATGGGCAGGGCAGCTGCCCTGGAAAAAGCATTTCCTACTCAGGAAGATACTGGAATTGCCAGGAAAGATGATCCCAGGCTGCGTCGTTTGGCAGAGAGTAGGATGGATAATCGTGAGGAAGTGAAAGCTGATCACCGGCGCATCCGCCAAGCTGAGATTGTGTCGACGATTGAAGAGGAGGCTAAAAGACAGGAGGGTTTGGATGCAGAGGAAGAGGATGCAGATGCTTTGGAGGAGAGAAGGCGTAGGATTAAAGAGCGATTGCGTCAGAGGGAGCAAGAAGAAGCTCCGCTTCTTCCGTCAGAGGATGAGGAAGAAGAAGAGGAAGAGGAGGAAGAGGAATCTGAGTATGAGACTGACTCGGAAGAAGAGCTCACTGGTATAGCGATGTTGAAGCCCGTCTTTGTTCCCAAATCGGAGAGGGACACAGTTGCGGAACGCGAGCATCTTGAGGCTGAAGAGCGGGTGCTCGAGGAACTAAAGAAGAAGAAATTGGAGGAGAGGAAAAGGGAGACGAAGCAGATTGTAGTTGAGGAAATCAGGAAGGATGGGGAAATTCAGAAGAGTCTAGAGCAGGAGGCAAATATTGCTGATATCGATACGGATGATGAGACTAACGAGGCAGAGGAATATGAGGCTTGGAAGGTGAGGGAGATAGCCAGGATCAAGAGGGACAGGGAGGACCGAGAAGCGTTGTTGAAGGAGAAGGAAGAAATTGAGAGAGTGAGAAACATGACAGAGGAAGAAAGGAGGGAGTGGGAGAGAAAGAATCCGAAAGCGCCTCCAAAGCCAAAGCAGAAGTGGAGGTTCATGCAGAAATATTATCACAAAGGTGCTTTCTTCCAATCAGAAGCAAATGACCATGTTGCTACCTTCGGGACGGATGGTATCTACACTCGTGATTTCTCTGCCCCGACCGGAGAAGATAAGATGGACAAGACCATATTGCCCAAGGTCATGCAGGTCAAGCATTTTGGTCGGAGTGGAAGGACTAAATGGACGCATCTTGTCAATGAGGATACTACTGACTGGAATAACCCGTAAGCTCTCATCTCTCTCAATCTATTTTATACTTATTTCCGCTTGTAAAAAATTAGCATTTGTTCTTTGCATTCCAATATATGTTTCATTTATTAATTATCTAGAATTTGCAAGCTCTATAATTAAAATTCTCTTTCTGGATGAGTTAAAATACGCATCGACTTACCTTCCTTTTTTGAAATGGCTTTGGATTTCCCTGGTTATTCTTTCAGATGATTTCTTACCATGTTATTCTGTGTGTGTGTGTTTGCTTGCAAGATATCTCCTGATTGGAGAAATATTTAGATATTGTCCATTCATTTGTTGGGAACTTCATAGATATGGATTTGATGAACTTTTATTTGATTCGCGCCTAGCGGAAATAGGTTTGATATAATAGCACATGAAAACTTATAGCCTAAATAAACAGATAAATTTTGTGGCTGGGATTTAACAGACGCTTGCTAGTTCCTAGATCTTCCATGATAAAGAGAAGAAAACAGATGATTCTTTTCATTGCAATTGTACACTTTTTGTCATTGATGTAATCGCTCTGTCTATTATTTGATCCCTAAAAGAGAGTGACTTTCTGGGTGTTCTGTAGATGGACATACAATGATCCTCTTCGTGCAAAGTACAATGCAAAAATGGCCGGAATGAACGCGCAGATAGCGAAACCTAAAGGAAGCAAGAAATTGAAGGACTGGGAAGCTCGCTGAATTTTAATCTCTGAATTATTCGTTGAATGATGGCTTTTAGGCACTTACATTGCTGGTGGGTTTTTTTTCTTCTTTCTTCTTTTTTTCCCTGGCTATAATATGAATGTAGACTTAAGCTCACATTTTAATGCAACTTTCCATCAAATCATAGAAGTTAATTTTGATAACGATTGCTGTGCACAACAATAACTCAAATGAAATGTAGTATAATGCAAAGACCTTGTTTTCAAAACGTAATTTCAAATAACCAATTAGAGGAAAAGGTGTCGTGTATTTCGAATGTATGTTCATTTCTTATGTGCGTTAAGCAAAGCATGGCATTGGATTTTGGTCTTAAAATTTGGAAGATGTATGCGCTCGATGAAATCTAAGATTAAACAATCATGTAAGAAAGTAGATTTTTTTTTTCCTGGTAATTTAAGATAACATTATTTAAATATTAAGTCTCCATAGTTTCAAAAGATTATAACTTGAATACGGAAAATGTAGCGTTAGATATTCATAATCCTATAATCCTCTCGAACCCTCGTATTCATCATCTCTTCAACACTCTCCATTCTTTCTCTTCTTCATCCCTCTTAACAAACAGACTCTTGCATGTAACAGCATATAATATCAAAACTAAAGTTTCAAGCTTAAAAGGGAATCCTTTACTTCCATGGGTGTACGCTCACCCCCCTCCCTCTTTTCTTTTTTTTTTTTTTTTTTTTTTTTTTTTTTTTTTTAAAAATTTTTTTTTTTTTTTTAAAAATTTATGCTAGTTCACCACAGAGCAGACTGCAGAGAATGCACAAAAGACATATATTAGAAGTGATAAATATAGGGGCCGTTTGGCTCGCTAATTCGAGTTTTTAATTCGAATTGAGATGTGATTTTTATGTGAGTTTTTTACTGTAGTAAAAAAGTTAAATGTGACTGTTTTTAAGAGTTTTTTTTATTGTAATAAAACTCGAATCGACGAAATGAACATGACTATAGTTTTTGTTACGAAATTAAAAAGAAAAAAAAAAAAAAAAACAAAATAAGGAATCTAAAGGAGAACTTTTTTGGGCTTACAATCATCGTCGATTATTTTTCAGTAAAAAAAAAAAAAAAAAGGGTTCATAAGTACTCTTGAATCTAATTCTAAAACTGAGAAAGAAATCTCTTTTAACTTGAAGAGAGATAGGAGACAACATTTTGGGAATTAAAGATTTGAGTGGACGTTAATAGAAGCAGCTGATGAAGTGCCCGAATTCTTCATCGACCTGACCTATTATTCTTCGTTTTCATTTCCGCTGATTCGAAGATAGAAAAATAGCTACTTTAAATGCATTATTATTCATGCAGTGAAATTATCAACCTGTGTCCGATACCAGCAACTCAAAAGCAAGGAAGTGAAACGCATCAATGATAGTGCTTATCCAACTAGCGTGTTTTATGTTATAGCGAAACATGCTCTTAATATTTTATATTTTTATAATATTAAAGTGGTATTTTGATATTTTAAAAATATCTTCTTGGTACCCTAAAGTTGATTTTTAAAACGTAAAAATGACCTTAATATTCTCTATTTAATTGACCAAAACCTAATAAATCTAGAAAAAAAAAATCATAAACTTTTATATTTTATAGTTTTCTTTTAAATATTTTAGCGTTTTAAAATATTTTAGATTTTTTTTTAAAATAATTTGTATTTAATTAATAAGAATGATAGTTTAGACATTATATGTCTTAAAAATCAACTGAAGATGCTTTTAAAAACATCATGGTACCGTTTTAATATTATAAAAAACACAGGGTACTGAGAGCATGTTTCACAGTTAAAGTACAGCTTCAAGAGGCAAAGGGTGTAATAATGATTTAGAAGGGTAAACATTTTCTGATGTAAAAGAGTCTATTACATACACTTGCAATATGTTAATATTGGATTATGAATAATTTTTCTATGGAAGACTGAGATTTCCTATGACAAGTATTTGGTACAATTAATATTATTATTTTTGAAATTTGTACAATTTATTATTATTATTTTTAACAAAATTATGATTTAGCTACAAAATCAACAATTTGTCACTAATTCTCAGCCCAAATTAGTGACAAAATGTTGATTTGTAGTTAAAAGACAACTTTTAGCTACAAATTTGTCAAATTAGCTACAAATTTTTTAGTCTCTAGTGACAAAAAGAGTTGTAGCTAAAACTATCACATTTAGCTACAAAATAAGTTTTGTAGCTAATGGCAACACATATAGCTATAAACACAATTTTTGTAGCTAAACACTTTTAGTGCCGATAATGTAGCTACGGCCTAGCTACGAATAAAAAATTTATAGTTAATTCTTTTAGCTACAAAATTTTAACACATAGTTACAAAAGTGCTTTGTAGCTAAATCCAAATTTTCTTGTAGTGGGCATTAATGCCGCAAAATATATAAAATAACCTATATATCCTTGAAGTTTGCCGATTCACATCTTCTTAGCAGTGAAGCTTGCGCTCATGATAGTTTTCATATTCTGGTACGGCGGTTGAAGGACACAACGTTACAGTGTCCATATAATATATGTATGGATGTAGGGATTCGCTTGTGATGATGCAGTTTTTACAGAAAAAAAAGTTAAACGTCAACCTCGTTCACTTCGCAGATTCAAGTTTTCAATTTAAATTGAGATGTGACATTTTTTGAGAGCTTTTCACTGTAGCAGAAAAAGTTAGATGTGACATTTTCTGAGAGCTTTTTACTGTAAAAACCTAAAACTGAAAACTCGAATCGGTGAAATGAACGATTAAATATATTAGGTCATAATGAAATAATACGGGGGTGCCCATCTCTTTAATTATTGAGGGATATTTTGTCTGCTTAAAGACTCATAAAAGTCTTCAGTCTCCCCTATATTCTTTTTGGGAGGGGGCAGAAATTAGGGACCATAATAACTAGCATGCACACTTTTAAATATCACATGGATAAATAGAAGCAAAAAGTAAAAAAAAAAAAGTGCACAATTAATTGGGAATTTTTATCTAAAATCCTATCATGCGTTTTCAAAAAAAAAAAAAACAAAAAAAAAACAAAAATAAATAGTAAATCGCTAGACACATGTATAAGGAGAACAAAAATGTCTTAATTTGATTAATTAAAACCTAAGATTTGAAATGAAGACATATTTTGTGGAAAATTAGCTAACCAAGACTTTTAACATAAAGGCTAATTTAATTAAGTATTGACTCAAGATTCAACAGCCATTTGTAGAGACTTTATACTTTTCAAAACGATCACTTTCAGCGGATAAGCATCGACATATAATTGGATGTCAATTATTTTTGATGTCGGTGGGGACATTACAAGAACATTCCAATGTATTTCTTAAAAAAAAGCTAATAATAATATGGGAAATTCTATGGTAGGGAATGGTCACTTTTCCTTATCAATTGGGTATGTACTATAACCACAAGATCTATTTTGAATTGTTCTGATAAGATAATGCACCGAAACTATTGTAAGAAAGAGTGCAGGTGATTATGCTTAACATTATCTCTCTGTTTTTGTTGTAAAAAAAATAAAAAAAGATATATAAATAAATAAATCCCACCCCATATGCACTCTCCGAATTTTTCATCTTCCATCATCTGAAATTTATTCCTATTAATTAATAAAACTTTGTATAGGGAAATTTGTAAATTTCTCAAGGATGCTAAACTTGGAGTTTGAGTTTGTGTCCTCTTGCTTGAAGCCAATTTGATTATACATTCCCTTTCTTCTCTTGTAATTGAAGTCTTTTCCTTGATATTGGATGTTGAAAATCCAATCATGATTGATCATTAGCGCCTGTAAAAGCTAATTCTTTGCCTTTAATGGACGGGTCCTGAATATCTATATCCCAATGACACTTTGATATCTACTTGATTTTGCATTCTCTTTCTTCGCACTTGATCTTCAGCATGAGAAAAAGTTCTCTCCAAGCTGCACAACGATATTTGTTGTTCTTAAATTAAGAAATAAAGAGGTACGATGAGGGAAAAGACGAATATGAGATTGTGTTAATTTAAAATTTAGAACTGAGTTTGAGTTGAACAAAAATTGAGATCGGGGAGTGCAGGAGAGGAGCTCGGACGGTGGGGCATAAGCTATTATGCCGCAGTGGAGACGGCGACGTGGAGAGATTTTGCAGAGGAGCGAAGGAGGGGGGGCTTAGCGCCGTCGGGGGAGAAGCTGATTGGCGCCGCTGGGACGTGGTCACTTAGCGCCGACATTGAGGGAGGGTTCACGCTTTCGTCGGGAGTGCTGTGTTCTTCATCGCAGTAGTGCTGGGATTCGTCGTCGTGGCGGCAGCCGGCGTTTGGACTGGAGTTTGGAGCAGAAAGTTCAATTGATTTTGAAGGCTGTTGTACTTTTGTATTGTTTTGTGGATTTTCTGGGTTTGAGATTTAAGATCAATATTTGGGAAAATGGAAAAAATTGAGGTCCTATTCATTTTACCAATTTGAGTTTAGAATTCGAGTTTTATTATAGTAAAAAACTCTTATAAACAGTTATAACTAACTTTTTTACTACAGTAAAAAGCTTTCACATAAAGTCACATCTCAACTCGAATTAAAAACTCAAATCAACGAACTAAACGGGCCTGAGAGAGCTCTCATCAATTGACAACTGGGAAGGGAAGGTTTTTTCTATTTTTTATTTTTCATTTTTCATTTTTATTTTTATTTTTTAAATTTTGTGTAGTCTTGTACAATCCACGTTATAATTGTTTTGGTGTGTCATTTTAATCTAAACCATACAACAATGATCAAACGGTTGAACACAATATTGATAGGGAAAAAAGTACCATACCCACCACAATGCCGTTCCCAATAAGTAATTAATCCATTATAAATAAGGCGTATCCCCTTTAGCAATATTGTATGCAAATTTCAATAATTATCCAATGGCTCTGTCTTGGTTTCTCTTGCTCAGTCTCACTATTTCCACTCTTCTAAACATTGGTCTTTATTCGGCTGCTCAGGATAATAGAAAGGTAACGATATATAACTTACTTGTAAATCCATATACCTTGACTAACTAGCTTCTTAATTCTTAATTATATACAATCCCGTTCATTTCACCGATTCGAGTTTAAAATTTAAATTTTGCTACAGTAAAAAGTTCTTAGAAACAGTTACATCTCATTTTTTTATTACAATAAAAAGC